CAATATGGAAATTACTAAATAAGCTGTAAATTTACCATTTTAGTCAATAAGTAGAAACATGTAATCAATAAAAATGTAATAGTATTTATTTATTAGAAGAGTAATACATGGTAAAAGCACAAAAAGTATAAAAGCATAAAATGTGAGGGCTGGTCCCTGTTCCCAGAGGTAATTACTGTTAATAGCTTATGCACATTCCAGAAATTTTATATTACGCAGCTTCTTAAATAATAATTTTTAAAAGTCTTGAACTATGGAAACATAAGTAAAAAAAAGCAAAGTATAAAATTTATTCTTCTTAAGAGCAATTATATAAAATATGTATGCCTGTGCTTAAGGATTAAAAAATGTTTTCTATGATTTAAAAATTACAAACCTACTAAAGAAACCTTGGGAAATATATAAACCTGGAAGGGAAAAAAGGAATTACTGATATTCCCATGTGAATATCAAACATGTTAGTCTATTTCTGGCTAATCCTTTTTTTAAATAAATTTATATATTTTTAAATTTATTTATTTTTGGCTGCACTGGGTCTTCGTTGCTGCGCAAGGGCTTTCTCTAGTTGTGGTGAGCGGGCTTCTCTTGCTGCGGGGCATGGGCTTCTGTAGTTGTGGCTCATAGGCTCTAGAGTGCAGGCGCAGTAGTTGTGGCGCACAGGCTTAGTCGCTCCGTGGCATGTGGGATCTTCCCGGACCAGGGCTCGAACCCATGTCCCTGCATTGGCAGGCGGATTCTTAACCACTGCGCCACCAGGGAAGTCCTTCTTACAATTCTTTACAGGACAGTTCCACCACTCTGGCTGACAAAATCTTTCCACTGAGAACAATGTGATACAGTAGAAAGAGACTCAGATTTGCAGTCAAAGTCCAAAGTTACTAGGTCAGCTGTAACTATGTGAGCTGAGATTATAAGAGTCAAAGTGACCAATCCCCCAAAAACTTTCTACGCGGTTTCATCAGTCATTGACATATAATGCAGATCAGCTGCCCTATTTCATATGAAGAAACTTTTAAAACCACAGATGTTAAATAAGGAAATATGAAATATGCCCTGAAATATCAAAAAGGAGAACCCACCAACTCCCTGGAAAAGGGAAAAATCAACTTCATTAAATATGAAAAATACTTCAATTATTCATTTGGTCAAAAGGTAGTAATCAGCCCCATAAAGTCATAATATATGTTCAGATATAAACTTTGCAGACTAATGTTGTGAGTTCATTTTTACGTCAAAAATCATTCACTTGGACCACAGAGCCCCTGGGCCCTCAGGTAGAGAGAAGAAAAGGACAGCCTAGAGAAAAAGGAGCCCCTTTTCCAGGAGTTCAATCTAATCAACAAATGACTGACCTGCTTTTGCCTAAACCCATGGTATCCATATCACTTGAAGGGAATTGCTGGGTGAAACCATAGGTTGTAGTGCCTTAGGATCGGCCAGGTCCGAGGCCTGGGTAACACAAAGGAAATGACAAAATGGCTATTTCTGGAGGGTGATTTAGGTTCATTTGGTTGCTCTCAGTGTGGATATGAATCCTTTCCCCTGTTTCAGTAATGCAGACAAAGTAACTGAGTTACAGTAGTGATTCTCAACTGAGGGTGATTTTCTCCCCCAGGAGACATTTGACAATGTCTCCAGATATTTTTGGTCACGACCAGGAGGAGGGGTGTTGCTGACATCTAGTGGGTAGAGGCCAAAGATGCTGCTAAATATCCTACAATACCCAGGACAGTCCCCCACAACAGGAAATTTCCCAGCCTAAAATGTCAATAGTGCCAAGGTTAAGAAATCCTGAGTTAAAGGATCCTCTGGGTACCCAGTCCTGAAACAGGACTTGGATAAACAAAAGAAGACAATACTTAAAACACAGAACAGAATATAACAAGTGAGCTGTGTCACAAAAACACTGCAGTGAAGTTTTGAAAAGGAGACAAATGTGGGCAACAGAGAATCTGAAACTACGTGGAGGAGGTAGAATTATGCTGTTTTTAAAAGCGTGGAATGAGAAAAAATGCTTTAGGGAAGAATAGCTTGAGTAAGAGCACAGAAGTGGGAAGAAGCTGGGTTATGGAAGAAACAGCGAGGAGGCGAGTGTTGATGATGCAGGTGAGTTACAGACGAGGGCAAATTAAGTGCATGGAAATGGACTGGCCAGCTTCCTCATGCGTGAAAGTACAGAAATGACCTAGATACCTAAGGTCTCTTTCACCATCAACATTCTGTGATTCTAGAACAACGGGTCTCAACTTTTTGTGCATCCAAGTAGCCTTAAGATATATCTAAAACTACAGATGCCTGAAGCCCACTCCCCAAGGCTCTGATTCAGTAGGACTGAGGAAGAACCAGAACATCGGTATTTTTAAAGCCTTTTGCAACATGATAAATACAATTAACACTGTTGTATTAATATATATGAAACTTGTTGAGAGTAAACACTGAGTTCTCATCACAAGGAAAACATTTTTTTCTACTTCTATAATTTTTTATCTATATGAGATGATGGATGTTCACTAAACATTGTGCTCATCATTTCATGATGCATGTAAGTCAAATCATTATGCTGTACACTTTAAACTTACACAGGGCTGTATGCCAATTATATCTCAAAACTGAAAGAAAAAAAGGTAAACCTGACACAGGCCAGAAAATCATCACTCTGACTCTTTACCCATTACAGTATTATCTGTATTATGTATTCAATGCTTCAGCTGAAGCAAAATAATTCAACCTATTAACTCCCGACTCATGACTTTCTACTTTAACAATTATCTATGCCCTCTAACTCAATACTTCTGGGAGCCTATCCTAAATAACCAGAAAATAAAACAATGTTTTATTATATATTATACAACAAAGATATGTTATTTTTAACTTTTATTAAAATATAATTACAGTATCACTTTTAATGTCTAAAAATGGAATACAATATAAACATTCCATCACAGTGAACAATTAAATTATGTCAAACTTATGACAGAGTACTAATTAGCCACTAAAAGTGACAATTACCTTTTAACAAAATAAAACACTTATAATAACTCTAAGGGAAAATATCAGGATACAAAACTACATATAAGGGTGTGTGTAGGACTCCATTTCTGTTAAAAATAGAGATTAGAAACAAAACTAGAACGTTTGATTCAAACTGTTAACATTAGTTATCTTTAGGTTTGGGGATTATGGGTAACTTTATTTTCTTGTTTATAATTTTCCATGCTTTCCAAATTTCCTATAAAACATGTATTACTTTTCTAATTGGGGAGAAAAGTTGGCCTATTCTGCTGATATAGGCTGGACCGAAACAACAGTTTCTTCCAAGGCTAAAGGGATTTAAGTTTCAAAAATATATCTACGAATTAATGCCTATGAATACTTATTGAAGGCTAAAAATTTTAAAAATAGATCAAGACCACTAAATTCTTAAATAGTGATGAATGCAACACAGCATCCACATTTTAGAGCTACTGTAAGGAAGCAATCCTATAAACTCATTAGGTGGGGAGTGTTTCCTATAAACTCATTAGGTGGAGATTTGAAGGCACTGTGGGCAATTTCCATCAAAGCTGACTGAGAGCACAGGGCAGGCAGGATCTACCTGGGATCTGGTGACATAACTAACTCATCTCCTGCCATGAAGGGAGCTCATTAAGGCCAAGAGACTACCTACTTTATGGTAAAACAAATAATAGCAGGATCTGTTGAAATTAACGTGCTTTGAAAGACAGGGCAAATATAATCTAGAAAAGTAGTTATTAAAATGGAAAGGTGGGATATTTGAAATTATTGCAAACTCTTAAATATTTCCTGCAAGGATTAGCCAGTAGTGGGGTACTAGGCATCCAGGATTTTCAAAGATTTCGAATATTCTATCCTTTTGCCCCCAGAAGCACACTCAAACTCGTAGGCCAGGTGCCTCTATGTTAAAATAATGAAAGTAGGGATGTGGTTAGAGCTATGAACTACCACAATCACAATGTTCAGACGGCAACTGAAAGCAGAGGTTCAAGTAATCCTAACTACATACGTTCAAATATGCATAATCTCACTGCACATTCCCAGCACACCTCACAGGTGTTCCGAGTAACGGAGACGCTGGAAGAACCTTCATCTTATTAACCTATCCCGCTCGTGGGACACAGGGCTCAGTCTCTGTTAACCTACAGGGGCTCCACAAACCAAGGCTGCCCCTCCTTCTGGAGGCCCGGGCCACAGCCGTGCAGGCACCTGGAAATCATTGGTAGGAAAAACACTCTTTAAAAATGAAACAAAACAAAACCCAAAAAGACAAACCCGACTTCTCAAAAGCTTTTCCAACCTGGAGTGAGGAATAGCTGAACGCAGTGGCAGAGTATCAGGATGTTTGAAAGCCCAGTTTCACCAAGTAAAAGACCTGGAATGCGGCAAGTTAACTCAAAGGCTCGGGGCTGCACTAGACGTGGTATGGTTGCAAAGACCGCCCAGACCGGCCCACAGTCTGGCCTCTGAACCGGTCGGCGGCCCGGGCAAAGCAGCCCGCGTCCCGCCGCCGGGAGAGGCCTGAGCGGCCGCTGCGTCCCTAACAGACCTGGGCCCCGGCCGACCGCAGACGGCCCACCAGGTGCCTCGACTCGGGGCCGGGAATCCCGTCCGGGGCAGGCGCGTTACCTGCAGCAGATGCAGCTGGGCCACGAGGCGCCGCGGCAAATGGAGGAAGCAGTCGCGAGCGTTGGTGAAGGCTACGGTCACGACCGCCCCGTCACCCCCAGCACCCGCCAGCCGACCGCCGCCCCACATCATCCGCAAGCGCTGTTCCCGCGGCCACTCACCCTAGTCGACCCGGGCTAATCCGGCAGGCCGAGGACGTCGAAGCCGGAGAAGATCGATCGGCCCCGCCCCTAGTCCCGCCCATAGCCCTGCCGAGCGTCTGTAGCGGGAGGGGCGTGCGAGCCTGCTCCGGCTCTCCGGGCCTCTCCGCCGCGCCGCAGGGGGGCGGCACCTCGTTCACCGAATTCTCGCTCACAGGAAACGATGGCTGACGCTATCGATTCTTCAGCCAATCTCGGCACGCCTTGACCCAGCCCTCTCTCTTATTGGATACACAAGAGGGCAAGGAGGCGGATGTTGTCGTCTCTGCGAGGGCCCAAACCGGCAAGATGGCGTCGAGTGGCGGGGAGCTTGGGGGCGTATTCGACCACCACGTCCAAAAGGCTGTGTGCGACTCGCGGGCCAAGTATCGGGAGGGGCGACGGCCTCGCGCTGTCAAGGTAAAGTGATTTCGGTTTCATTCGCTGTCCTCAGTAGCTTTGTGTGAGCTCTAGCTTCACATGCCTAGCCTACGTAAATAAAATCTTGAAAGGCTGTGGTCACATCCATTCACTGGAGATGAGTGTGAGGAACGCTGGTACTCAGGTACCAGATATTCTTGCGACCTCTTTAGCCAACTGTTAGAACCTCAGCTCCGTGAAAACAGGGCTGTGTTTTAGTCATTGTATCATCCGCGTTTACACTAGTCCTTGTCACACGGTAAGGCTCAATGACTATGTTAACTCTTTCCTGTCGTATCTACCGAGCCAACTTCTGGAAAACGTGTCGATTGAAGGTAGTCTATTAGGTGCTTTAGCTAGAGGCCTTCACACGTAGGGTGAATTCTTTATGCAGAGAGAGGGGCAAATTTTTGATTCTTTATTTTTTGCAGACTTTCTGAACAGAATAGTTCTTGTTTTCAATTTTGTTTTTAATAGGAGCAGATTTGTCTTAGGCTTATTTGTGAAATACATTTAATGTGTCTGCATTTCTTTTAGGTATATACAGTCAATTTGGAATCTCGGTACTTATTAATACAAGGAGTTCCTGCAGTGGGAGCGATGAAGGAATTAGTTGAGCGATTTGCTCTGTATGGTGCAATTGAACAGTATAATGCTCTGGATGAATACCCAGCAGAAGACTTTACAGAAGTTTACCTTATTAAATTTCTTAATTTACAAAGTGCAAGGTAATATGCAAGTTAAGCAGTGTCTCATTTTCTCCATTCCCATTGGTATCATTTTGTCCTCTCTCATTCATTCCCGAATTACCCAATAACTTAACATGGCCGTTATTATTTTTCTCCAGTTTTCTTAAGTGTTAGCGTTACCAAAACTCTGTCCATAGATCATTCCCATACTTAACAATTTTCTGTCGTGTAGTGTGGTAGATTAAAGATTGGGTTTGGGGTAAGTTTTCAGGTTCCACTGCTTACATTGTGACCTTGGACAAGTTATTCAACCCCATTAAACCTGTTTTCGTATTCTGTAAAATCCATATGGTAAAAGGATCTACTTATTGAAGTTGTGTGAGGATGAAATGAGATAATTCACGTAAAGGGATTAGCAAATGCCTTCTGTTCAGAATGCAATAAACATTAGCCGTTGAGGGACTTCCCTGGCTGTCCAGCGATTAAGACTTCGCCTTCCAGTGCAGGGGGTGTGGGTTCGATCCCTGGTCGGGGAGCTAAGATCCCACATGCCTCGCAGCCAAAAAACCAAAACATAAAACAGAAGCAATATTGTAACAAAGTCAATAAAGACTTTTAAAATGGTTCACATCAAAATATCTTAAAAAAAGATTAGCTGTTGAGCTATTGTTATGCACCTATATGAATTGACCCCATCTTTTCTATCCTTCTATATATAACATAAACTCTCTGCTCCAATAAGGCTGAAATGTGAAATGCCTTATCTCTTTTTATGTTGATTCCTATTCTTGTCACTAATACACTCCAAGACCCATCCTTCCGTGGCTATTAAAATTCTTATTTTCTTTTCTGTGCTACAAATAACACTTGGGTACACAGGGTCATGTAGTGTTGTCCAGTTGCTCTTATGTATAGTCTCACTGCTCTAACCAACTTGCCAGCTCCTTATGGTGAGGGAAGCATATTTTCTCATTGTGCATTCATTCTAAGGAGTTTTTACATCTCCCACACCACCTAGGACAGTAGACCATGCAGTGTGACATCTGGATTTGAATCCTAGCTCCACAAACCAATGTGGGCATGGCCAAGTTATAAATCTCCCCAGGTCTTAGTTTCATCATAAGATTGTTGTAAAGTGTTAATTCAAGTGAAGCATTTAAGCACTTAGGACACTGCGGTACGTAGTAATATCTCAATGAATATTTCTTATCATTTTCCCTGGGCATAGAAGTACTTAATTATTGTAGTAATTCCTGGCCAGTCATAGATGTTTTTTTTTGTTTTGTTTTTAAGATGTTGGGGGTAGGAGTTTATTAATTTATTTATTTCTTTTTGCTGTGTTGGGTCTTAGTTTCTATGCGACGGCTTTCTCTAGTTGTGGCAAGCAGGGGCCACTCTTCATCGCGGTGCCCGGGTGTCTCACTGTCGAGGCCTCTCTTGTTGTGGAGCACAGGCTCCAGACGCGCAGCCTCAGTAGTTGTGGCTCACGGGCCCAGTTGCTCCGTGGCATGTGGGATCCTCCCAGACCAGGGCTCAAACCCTTGTCCCCTGCATTGGCAGGCAGATTCTCAACCACTGTGCCACCAGGGAAGCCCATCATAGATGTTTAATAAGTATTTGTTGAATGAATACCATCCTCTTATTTTCTCACTATTTGTTACATATTCAATATTTCCTCCATTATTGAAGGTTTACAATAACAATATTTTTAACTAATTTCTTACATATGAATTCCATTATAGGAAAACATTGTGCTGAAAAGGCTAAATTAGGTATGAGCTAACTCTCAAGCGCCAGTTAACTTAACACAGAGAAAAATCTCTATTTCATGACCACAGATTGTGTACCTCAGACCAACAAGCTGGACCCTATATTGGTTAAAGGGAATCTCGCTTGTATGGATGACTTAGTTAAAACCTATTAAGACTCTTGGGAGAGGGGAGGAAAGGCTCTAAGAGAGTATGCAGTGGATCAGTAGGGTCAATACCATCCACAAGCAGAGCATCTTAATTCCCAAGCTATAGAATATATATACACAGCAAAAGCTGGACTTTGCTCTTTAGATCAGTGTATTGTATACTAGTTAAGCTTTCATGCTAAGTAAATCTAGATTAGTAAACCATGATATGTATTTCTGTTTAGGATAGCCAAGAGAAAAATGGATGAACAAAGTTTCTTTGGTGGATTGCTTCATGTGTGCTATGCTCCAGAATTTGAGACAGTTGAAGAAACCAGAAAAAAATTACAAGAGAGGAATGCTTATGTAGCAAGAACTACTAAAAATAAAGGTATGGAAAGCCTATTACTAAACAACACCTCCTATGTGTCAGATATTTTGCTACGTTTATCATCATGGAGTTCCCAGTCTAGTGAGAAAACAGACAAGTAAAGGATCACAATTTTCAATATCTGTAGACTACAGGGTTCTTTACAGAATGCTGTGTAATCTGGGCTGGGAAGGGAGAGGTGTTGTTTCATGGAAGGCTTCCTAAGGATGAGAGAGGTGGCTGAGTTCTGAAGGGTAAGTAGACATTACTTGGAAGGGGAGAGGAAGAGACGGAAAGATGGGCCAGAGGAATAAATGAGCATCATGCATTTTAAGGAACAGTGAGTAGTATATGATAACCACAACACAGCTTCAGTGAGAGATAAGAGAAAAGGAGACAGGAAGTAAAGCCTGAAAAGCCTGTGTCCATGCTGAGGAATTAAGGCTTTGACCAAAAGGCAGTGAGAAACACCTCTGATGTGCAGGCCAGTTACAACTGCAAAAAGTGGATAAGTTCCACTTTTGATGAACACCAGCTGGCCAAATGCCCAATATGCCCATCCAAGTTGCCCTAGACACAAATTCCCAGTGCACCGAATGGAGTCATAGGATCTGGCACATGGACTGTAGAACTAGAGCAGTCAGAATTGGACTAAGATAATGTGTGTGGTCTGAAATCTGAATAGTTCCAGAGGCTCAAATTACCAAATTTCCACCCTTTGGTTAAAAGACAAAGACAGTGTCCATACAGCTATCAAATATGATGAGTTTATGGCTGATTGAGTAAGGGGCATGTGGCAGTGTGAAGAGAGAAATAAAGTGTAAAACTTACCTAAAATTTTGGCGAGAGCTGTTGGGAGTCTCTGGTCAGTTGTAGATGCTGAACTTTAACCTGTGTGAATAACTAGCTTCAGGAAAACCTGTATGTGTGACCAAAGAAATGATAAAATATGGACCCAGCATATTGTCTCCTTTAAAAGCTACAAATACAAACTAAGCAGCATGATACATACAGTAAAATACTTTGAAGCCATAAAGTTTTCTATGTAATGACATGGAAAAACTCTACAAGATTTAGAGTTAACTGGAAAGCAGAAAGGTTCAGAGAAATGGGTATTACAGGAGAAAAAGAGGGGTAAGTGGGAGGAAGAAAGGTAAGACATACTGGACAGATATCCTTTTTAGCTTTTAAACCATGTGAATATATTCCCTACTCAAGAAGTAAATTTTTTAGGGTAGTGTTCATTAACATCTTAAAGTGATGTTTCTTTTTAAAAGTACATGTTTCTGAATGATGAAAACAATAAATGAACCATTTCTGTTTCCCTTTCTCTCACCTTTTAAATTCTAATATAAAGATCATTACATGACAAAGAAGCATAAAGATACAAAAGATTTTAGACAGGACTTCTATTCGAAGACCTCTGGATTTCCTGCAGCCTCTTTGAACACATCTACTGGGAACTCAGATCTTTGTCTTCCTTATTCCTGTGAGTTGCCTTTGTGCTGTTTCTCCCCCAAATGTACATGTTCATCAGGAGAACATGTGGACAGAGCATCAAACTCCTCTCAGGATGGTAGAAACCATGATGAAACACTGGAGCATTGTAACCACTATGACTCTCTGCAAAAAATGCAGATGAAAACTTTGAAAAATTCATTGGCCTTCCCTGGCGCACAGAAGGCTATTACTCCTTCAGAGGCAGTTGACAGATTTATGCCTAGGACAACACAACTGCAGGAGCGGAAAAGAAGAAGAGAAGATGATTGTAAACATGGAACTCTTCTTGAAGCAAGCACAAGTAGTAATGAGGTTATGATTGGCCCTCAGTTACCAGACATTCCTAAAGTAGACATGCATGATGACTCGTTGAATACAACAGCGAATTTAATTCGGAGTAAACTTAAAGAGGTAAGATCATTAAAAAAAAAAAAAATGTTTTAAGAGACGATTTGGTTACAGGACTAACAACTGAATGGAGACTTATTTCTGGGAACTACAGTATTATCATTCTTGTTTTTTTCATTTTTACTTTTTAGATGTGTTTCCTACAATTCTCTATTGAAGTACAATAACTGAATTTGACTCACAGATATGTATTTGCTTTGATATCTTTAATCCTTGCTTTAAACATATTTTATATCACTCTAAGTAGAAAATATAAAAGCAGTAGTTTTAGCCAGTTAGATCAATCTGTGAGAATGGAGCCCAGGCCCTCCCTTTTTTAAAAGCTCTCCAGATAGTTCTAATATGAGCCAACATAGAGAACTACTGCATTGAGGGAAAATTATTACAATTTATTTCTCAAGTTCAAAATTACATAAAATTCAAATGCTTATTTTGCTTCTTTAATACAGATAGCCATAAAAGAAGGTGAGATTTCTAAAGATTAGCCCTTAAGGTCTGAATTTTAATTTTAAATTTCTTAAATAGTTTAGAGCTAGATTGTTCTACTTAGGTAGCAGTTTTTTAATGTTATTTACGTAACCATTTTCCATTTTCTAAGCACAAATGAAAGAAAGTTAACATTTGAGTTAGCGTTTGAAAAATACCTTATCGTGGGGCAAGACTTTCAGAAATCATAATCTGCTGGAGAAAGACCATTCTCTTATACTTGAACTCAGGTTCAGAAAGTGCTTTTCACATAGTTGTACATATATTTTACAATGTAATTAAGAGAGGCTAAGGTAGATTCTTTATGTACCCTTTTTTAACCTCAACATTATCCAGTTGAGGATGAGGAATTGTTTTATAATAATAAAAATCCATGGACACAGTTTTTATGCTTAAGCCTCTTTAAACATTTTTTTGCTTGTACTGGCACCCTTCCTTCAGATACAACTAAACTGAGACATAGATACAGATACATAGCTATCTTAGAGCTGACTGTATTTTCCAGAAAAAAAGAGTTAGGTCCAAATCCTAGATATAGAAATAGTAGAACAACAAAAAGGAGAAACACTAAATACAGTTTACTACAGTTTCTAATAATTTTCCATTTTAAGTGAAGACTGTCTTACTGTGCTTTAACTTATACTGTCTACGTTGTTCTGATGTATTTGATTTCATTTTTCCCTAAGAAATTGAAGATTCTAGCATTTTCTGCATATTTCTTTAAATTTTTCATCCCCCATCCCCACTGGAGCCTCAATGTCTCTAAATATATCAAATATTATAAGTGTTTCAAGTTATGCATAACCAGGGTATCTATCTGTATTTATAAAATTACAAGTGACTTCATCATAAAATAACAGATCTATAAAGGAATGTTAAAGTAGAGCATATGTTTACTTTTCTCCCCTCAAAATTTCTTTCTTGTTAAATGGCTTTAGAAATTTTACTCCCATCAATGTTTGGACATAAAACTTTGCTCTGTGCCTGGATCGTAGGCTGCACCTTGAACTTGGGCTAACTGCCTTAAATGTGATGGCAAAGATTAAACTACTGGATGTATATCCTACCTATTCTAATGGTTTATTACTCTTGTACTATAAAAATTATAGTGTTGGTGGTTCTCTTTTTTTAACCTAGGTAATTTCATCTGTGCCGAAGCCTCCAGAGGACAAACTGGAAGGTGTGCGTGGAAATCATCCTTTAAAACAAAGAAGAAGAATATAAATTGTCTGCAGTAAACTAATATTTTTAAAGGCCTATTTATTTTTTATTTTTAGGCTGTCATTTTAATTCTTAAAGAGATTTTACTGCTGGTATTTTTTTTTTAATGCACTCCTCTTTGTAATTTCATTCAACCTACTTGTCTCATATAGTTTCATCTTTTAAAACTAGTTTATCATGGACAAAATACATGCCAGCCAATTATGTCCCTTAAAAAAACTAAAACTTTTCCAGAAGTTCCACCCAGTGACTTTGGTTACATCTTATTGGCTAGAACTGGGCCCGTGGCTGTTCCTTATAGAGGAGTCTAGAATGTTGAATGTTTGGGTTTCCAACTTCTGTGGTTGAGGAAGCAAGAGAAAAGAGGGTTGTGAATGGCTCATTCACAATATGTGCCCCCAAATTAAGGTTGTTGGTTAACTTAACAAACAAATTAATTAATTTATCATTACTTATCATAGATGTTATTTTGATCCATACTTAATATTACAGAAATCATTCTTACTACCTCTCACACTGCAATCACTATATGTAAATTAATTGAAGCAAATATAGAAACTTTATAATATAAATATAGGCAACCAGGATCTGTTTCTGAATTTAATAATTTTGAGTAATTCACATTCAAAAACTAGAAGTCAGGATGTGTTGGAATGCCAGGGCTTCAAAATCAAGACAATTCTATAAAGCAAAAAAGTTAAACTATTAGAACAAAGCTAAAATTAGAAGCTTATATGCTTTAGTTAACTTCAAAGAGTAATTTACTTCATCTATGGCAGAAACAAATCAGTATTTGTAAATGCTAGACTTTTATTACCACTACTTTTAGCATATCCACATTTTTTTTTTCCTGGCAGTGCATCACATAATTGGAAATCCAAGTATGTCCAGGCTGTTTCCTTTTTTTTTTTTTTTTTTTAACTGATAACAATAACCTAAGGAGGCCCATACAAAATGGTGTCTGTTTTTCTCCTTGTCCTAAGGGCCTCTTGCCTAATGGATTGAATTTGAATATAAAGGTTAGGAAGTTCCACCTTCATTTATGACTTACTGATTCAAACTTGCTAGGAAGGCACTTAGTTGTGGATGGTATTAAAAGAAGCTGCAGGCAAGGTGTCTGTCTGGCTCTACCTCCTTGTGAGGTAATTAATTAGATATATAGTTGACCTTTGAACAACACGGGGTTAGGGTTGCTGACCCTCCACACAGTCAAAAATCCACATATAACTTTACAGTCTGCCCTCCATATCTGCTGTTTTGTATCCTCAGATTCAACCAACCATGGATTATGCAGTATTGTAGTATGTATTTATTGAAAAAGAAATCCACATACAAGTGGACCCTCACAGTTCGAACCCGTGTTGTTCAAGGGTCAACTATACTTTTTGCTGCACTCTCAGTTAAAAAAATACATTAGTCACCTCAGCATAGAGTTGGAAAAAGCAAGTTTCTCTCTGGATCAGGCTTCTCAGATTTTAAGGTGCTGTGAATCTCCACCTTTTGTCTTATTAAAATGCAGACTCTGATGGTGGTGGCAGAGGCTGGTGGGTGGCCGAAATTGGGAGTTGCTTAATGGGTATAGAGTTTCAGTTGTGCAAGATGAGTTCTCGAGATTGGTTGCACAATAGCATGTATGTACTTAACACTACTGAACTGTACACATAAAATTGGTTAAGAAGGTAAATGTTATGATAGGTGTATTTTACCACAATACAGCAGAAATTAGCACAACATTGTAAATCAACTATACTTCAATTAAAAAAAAAATTTCTCTGATAGCCCTAAAGGGAGGAGCTGCTAAGTGGGTTCTGTGTTCTTGAGTGGATTCCTGATCTGTGACTGTGTGAAGGCCAGCCCTCCTTGTCCCTGCCAGCATACACAAAATTTGACCACAATGAGAGAAAAAATAAACCCTTCTTGTGTCAAGCACTTAAAACAAAAACAAAACCTCTGATTCAGCTGGTTTGAGGTGGGGTCCGAGATTCTGCATTTCTCACAAGGTCCTAGGTGATACCATTGCGGCTGGTACAGACTACACTTCGAATAGTAAGGCTCTAGATAACTGGCTTACAGATGAACACTTGGGGAGCAGCTGAAGAACCATTGGTGTTCCATCTGAACCTAAGTAATTACTCCAATCCAGTCCATTACTCTGAACTCTTTCACCCATCAGGTTCCCAGACAAAATTAAAATGTGAGAATAAACGACAACGGGACAAGTTAGATGAGCTGACATAGCTAAGGATAGCTTAACAGTATGCAAATTCATCCACAAAATCACCATCTAAATTACTGCAGAGAATAAAAAGTTTCTTCCTATATCACATGTTTACAAAGCACAGTTGGTCAAAGGAAGAATTAAGAAAGGAAATGTTGACTTCCCTGGTGGCGCAGTGGTTAAGAGTCCACCTGCTGATGCAGGGGACGCGGGTTCGTGCCCTGTTCCGGGAAGATCCCACATGCCGTGGAGCGGCTGGGCCCGTGAGCCATGGCCACTGAGCCTGCGCTCCACAATGAGAGAGGCCACAGTAGTAAGAGGCCTGCGTACCGCAAAAAAAAAAAAAAAAAAAAAAGGAAATGTTAATTAGTGAAATTAATTATCAGGCTGATTCTTCTGGCTCAGAAAACCTTTGTCATATTCATACTCGAAAATCCTTCATGAGCACAAATAAAATACTATAAAGTACTATACGTGTCCAAAATTTTAAAAGCTTAATTTATTCTCATTGTTTGACAACAAACAAGAGAAAGAGATCAAGTTTCCTCCTAGCAGTTTATGGTGGGTACTTGCTGAATCCACTCTATATTTACTGTTCTATCCCTTAAGCAAGCCAATATACCTCGGGTTTTTTGGGGGAAAATATTTACAGGAAATTAGGAATTGTATATGGCTAAGGTGGTTACAAGCTCAAAAAAGGTCTTGAATATAATTAGTCACTACTGTCTTGGGTCCCAAATGTTAGGATGGGGCTGAGATCTTCATGGTTGCCCGAACTTCAGTAGTGTGTTGAAGTCCTGCAGAGGTAAGTGTCTAGCAAGCATTTCTTTTCTGATCCTTTGAAATTTTCCTTCAACCAGTTTGGCTGCTGGTACTGTACCTTTGCTTCTGGTAAACATGGTCCAAACACTTCCAACAAAAGTTTATCTTCTTTCACTGCTTTTTCAAAGTCTGCAAAAGATATCTTGCCATTGCTGTCATAATCCTAGAGAGGAGATAATTTCTTGATAAATGATAGAGTAGTTTTTAATTTTGCATGGAAAATAACTGTCTAGAATAAAAGATTTTACCAAGTCAAACTGTAAGTTCACACTTCTGTAGGCACTGCTTACACAAATCAAAAGGTACTAATTTATGGAGGCCACTTACTTTGTTCCTATTAGTCTAATAGGCATACCTGGTATGAACTGAATGTCTCTCCCCACCTCCCAAGGTCATGTCTTAAAAGCTCTAACCCCTGCAATATGATGATATTTGGAGGTGGGGGACTTCAGGAGGTAAATTAGATTTAGATGAGGTCATGAAGGTAGGGCCCCATCATGTTATTAGTGTCTTTGTGAGTAGAGAAAGACCAAAGCTCCCTCTCTCTGCCATGTGAGGCCACATTGAGGAGGTGGCTGTCAGCAAGGCAGGAAGAGAGCCCTCAGTGAGGAAGTGAATCTGCTGGCACCTTAATCTTGGACATCCCAGTTTCTAGAATTGTGAGAAATAAATTCTAGTTGTTTAAGCCAGCCAGTCTATATTTTGTTACAGCAGCCCAAGCAGGCTAAGATACCTGAATTACCTTAGACATATAAAAACCCTGTCCCTAACGGACTTATACCCTAATTGGGGAAATAAGACAGAAAATTAGAGGAAGTCCATTATAATACTTTTGTGATAAAATAAGTGCCAAAGATTTTTAAGCTTAATTTTTAGCTTTGTTTCTCAAAGGATCTCTTACTTGAGATAAGGATATAATGTAAAAAGTATAACAGTGAAGTTGCTTAATAAGGAGCAAGGCGCTGAGAGAACAGTAACAATTCAAGATGGACTAGGGTCATGAGAAGAAGCTTGCAGATTACTGTTAGGCCGTTAGGGATGTTTGGGATCTAGATAGGTGGAGAGGTGTCAGGAGGAAATGCAGACGAATGGCCCAACATGGATTATGACAGTAAACAGGAATGCAAGTCAGGAAGAAGACAGACCAGCCTGGAATGGAGTATTCATGACAGGGACTATGGAAGATTAAATCATGGAGGGAGCATGTGTGTAGATTATGAATACCTTTAACCGCTTAATCCAATTTGGATTTGATTTAATGGGTTCTTGTTTTTTCACTTCTGGGCGTAACTAAATCAGGGTTGCTGAGAGTCTAGTTTAAAGAAAGGTTTGAATAATTTTCAGAAAAAGATTCACTCCATAACTTTCTTTCAAAAAAAGAAGGGGGTGGGTGTGGTAGTGGGAAGCATACTGTCTCTCAAGAAGTCTACCCTCGGCCTTAGCCATGGCTCTTGAGTATTTCTAATGGAAGAGGACATCCTGAAGTCTGTGTTAGCTGAATCTGAGACTCGGCAGACCTCATCATCTGTTACTTTCCTGAGCTCCAAAGTAATGGAGGTGAGCTGGGCCCGGGCCACCTTAGAGTCATAAACCTTCACTGGTATCCAGTTTAGGGTCACAGTAAGAAAAAGAGAGAAATCACTATGTCCATAATAAAGAGGTATTATTAGTTTCATTGAAAGATGAATTCTGCACCTCATTTTCTATCATGACCTTGTATAAACCTATCTGCACTTCAGTTTTCTCATCTGCAAAGTAGAGAGAATGATTTCAACTTCATAGAGTTGTTCTGAGGATAAAATGAGTTCATATATTAAAGTTCTGTGATGGGCTTGGCATATAGTAAGCAATTTATAAGGGACAACTATTTTTATTATGTTATTACTTTATAATGAGTGTTTAGATGGATTAGAGAGCAAAAGTCATGAAGACAGACTACATTTGCATCCAATTTTAAAAGAACTGAATCTGTCACCCCACTTCCCAAATAATGAGGTTTTACTGATAGTAAAATATTTTAAAATAATAAAATTAACATTCATTTAATGTAGTGATTCATTGAATCACCCAGGCATTCCATAAATATTTTTTAAGTAGCCACTATCAGCCAGGCACTGTTCTAGGCAATGGATAGAGCAGAGAACAAACTCCTGCTCTCATAATGGTTACGTTCATTACGTAGGGAAATAAATCATTTCTTCATCTTTAGCTTTATCTAACATCCATTTGATTAGATATAATGAATTACAGTTTTTTTTATTCTTACCATTTTCTTCAGTGTTATATCCACCAACTCGTTTATTCCTTCATCAGTATCTTCTTCAGGTGACTGTTGGTGTAGACTGTTCAGCATGTCAAACGTTTTCTCTCGAGAAATGTAACCATCACCATTGAAACAGTAAACTTCAAAACAGACTTTTTAAAGCATACGAAATTTAAAGACTTGGATAAGAGCAGTTAAAATGTCATTAGTCTTCTCCTTAGTTATTTCAATATGTAATTAAAGAAGGATAAAAACAATTTATACAACCTATATTCTACATAGTGGAGGAATTTTATAAATCTTTCCACAAGATTAAATACCCCTGGGGATATGAAAAGAAAGAATTTACACATACATATATAGTGCATATATATACACACATATACATATAAATATGTGTGTATCTTAATGTTATAATGTCCTTCTTACATAGAGTGCAAAAACTAGTGTGTACACTTCACTATATCATTGACAAAGAACATTTTTCAATATATTTGGGTAGTGAGTCTGTCACCTCCTTGGGGTCTACCCATCTGCACTATCCAAAATGATCCATCTCTCCCTAGAGAGTGATTTCCATGACTTCCATTGCACTGTGTAAGCACTACTACAGTTCACTCATTCATCCCACAAATGACCTTACTCAGGTCCTGGGAATATAACAGTGAAGGAGTTCTTGTGGAGTCTGTAATCTAGTTAAATGTTTTAGGACAGGAAGGAAGGGAGGAAGGGAGGGAGGGAGGGAGAGAGAGCAGGAGAAAGATAGGAAGGGACGAAGCGGGGGAGAAAAAAAAACAGGTATAAAATTCCAAAGCATCAGATTAATTCTGTCTTTTGTTGCATTTCTCCAATATATAGCATATATGAGTTTGTGACACAACCCTACTAGAAGTAGTATTTTCCCCAAATTAACATATCTTGAAATGTATATGAAACATTTTTAGGAAGTGGGATTAGAGGAGGAAAAAATTCTTGATAGTGTGATGCTATTCAATCATGTCTAGCTGCATTATGTCACGACCACTTTCATAAGAATTTACAACCACGAAACTTAACTTTTCATTTCTCAGTGAGACTTTTCTATAAGAACACTGCAACTATAAGAAACTAAAGTGACAACTATATATACGTGTTATCCCGTGAAAAATTAGATTGGAGAAAAGTGGGGGAAGAAAAGCACATAATGTTGTAAGGAGAAAAAAAAGAATTATGTAATGTATGCCAATTATACTTCAATTTTTTAAAAAAGCAAAAAAAAAAAAAAAAAGAGAAAAGAAAAAAAGGAACCCCCCCCACAAAACAGAGAAACAAAAGTCATAAATGTCAAATAAAGTTGGTGAGTTTTTAAAATGTTGCTATCATTTTTGAAACGTGTGTTTAATTTAGAGATCTTTTGAACATCCCAAATCCAAATTCAAGTGGAAGAACAAGAAGGGATAAAAATTTCCTTATATACTCAGAACTCTGCATTCTTTTCTTAAGTAATTTGACACTTTAAGCAATTTGCTCCCTTGAAAACTGCTACTTAAAATTGTTCCTATTCTCTTTCCAGGGTTTCACACCCCAAATCCTGGCACAGGAGGTGTAAAACACAGATAATATACGTCACATCAATGGTAAGGGTGAGGTGAGGCCAGAGCTGTTCCTACAAAATTGTGAACTGGGAGATCTTTGTCTTTGGAATCCCTGGTCCTTTTCTGTAGGAAACTCCCTTTATAACCCTCCTTCCTCTGGGCTTTCACTGTCTCAGCCTTCTTTCCTCTTTCACTGTCTCAGCCTTCTTTCCTCTCTTTTTAGTCTAACACTAGAGTATTGGTGTCTGAGGGTTGTGTGTTTTATCGTGTTTTGTGTCAATCCCTCACATTTTCTCTGATGGAAAGACAAGGAATAGCCTCACTGTGAACTATATGCTGCCCCATATTCAAGGCCATTTTCTGCTGAGCCCAGAGGCAGCCCCAGAAACCTCAGCCTTGCCAGCTGATCAGAGTTGGCACATGTCCTGAACTTCAGTTGCTGTCCTTTGCCTGGGCCTTAAGCCGAAGAGCCATCCTGGTGACACTGGGGTATTACAGAACTAGTGAAGGAAGTGTTTGGAAACTCCGGATCTAGGGACTCTCCTATAAAATAGGACACCCATTTCATCTGTGTTTTGTTTTTGTTTTTTTAACTCTCATGAACTATTTTTGCAAGGGCGATATAGAGAACAATGAATTTATATTAAAAAAATATTTAGGAACTTCGCTGGTGGTGCAGTGGTTGAGGGTCCGACTGCCAATGCAGGGGACACAGGTTCGAGCCCGTGGTCCAGGAGGATCCAGGAGGTCCAGGAGGATCCCACATGCCGCGGAGCAACTAAGTCCGTGCGCCACAATTACTGAGCCTGTGCTCTAGAGCCCACCAGCCACAACTACTGAGCCTGTGTGTCACAACTGAAGCCCAAGTGCCTAGAGCCCGTGCCCCGCAACAAAGAGAGACCACCGCAATGAGAAACCCGTGTCCAACAGTGAAGAGTGGCCCCCGCTCAGCACAACTAGAGAAAGTCCACGAGCAGCAACGAAGACCCAACGCAGCCAAAATAAATAAATATAAGGATTAACTAATACAAAATTGACAATATATATTACTAAGTTAATAATAACATAGAAATCTTACACTTCAGCTTTTCTTCAAAAGTCCCTCGAAAAAACACTGATAATCCTTTAACACACTCTTTCACATTTATGTAGTTATGTCTTTGTCAAATGCAAAAAATACTGAAGGAAAAAGAACGTGTAAGTGTATTGTAATTTATAGCTATTTTATAATTCAAGAGTATTATTAAGAGATTAAAAAAATCTTTCCTCCCAAAATGAGGGGGAAAAAAGTTTTTGACACAATCTTTCTTGAAAGAGTCAAAATTACTGGAAATGTATTTCCAACAGATTTTTATAGAAAGAAGCCATTCTCCTCCATGGTCAATTATGAGCTTCACTTGTGATGCTTTGTACAGTTACTATCAGCAAAAAAAGACCAACAGTAGGGATAATCAATGTGATAATTTTTATTCTAAAGAGTGGCAAAATCCTGTTCTAAAGAATCTGTATAATACCTAAAGATAAATTACCAAAATAACACATTATTTTTTAAATTACCAGTGAAATCTTAGAATTATCCTATAAAATATTATTGACTCTTTTGGGGGTGATAGATATATTAATTATTTTCATTATGGTTATGGTTTCAATGGTGTATACATACATCAAGACATATCAAGTTGAACACTAAAAATCTGTTAGTGAAACTGACTGGATCACATTAAATTTCCTATTCTGAAAATAAAATTGTTTCATTGATTTTTTTCAATATAATGAGTAATTCTCATTTTTTTTGTGCTGAAGAAGTAAATAATTTACATGTCTACACAGCATATGACTCCAAAGACAATTGAAACCACAAGCTTATCTTTTAAAAAAAATCAATACTGCTAGCTTATTTAGGTCATTACTGGTTCTTTCTCAAAATGGTATAGCTATGAAATATGAAATTCTGAGTGAGTTTATATTAAAAACCATCCTCACAATCAAATCAAATTTACTGTTTTAAATTGGTAGCACTACCAGAATCGTCTAATTCTGGTATTGAAAAATGCAAAGTCTTTGGTGAAAACTTGCCATGTATTAACATATATATATAAATAAATATATACATATTTGTCATCTCAGCTTGGCCCATTTCAGTCTCCATGACTTCTTACCCCTATTCATTAGCATATCATCAGTCATTCCAAATATGCTGTGCAGGATGGCTCGAAATGTGTTATGATCTAGTCCAGTGTTATCAAGTCTTACAACAGCTCTTTCCACCAAGCTGTGAAAAATTCTTATGAGACACTCTACTTCACTTTTTTTTACTGTAAAATGAAAATACAAATGGATACAACTTAGATTTAACCACTGAGTTCTCCAACCCAATTAAATATATTTTACTAAGCAGCTATTTTGTTCCTATGATTCTAGATGCTCTAGTGATTTAAAAAAGTGTGACAGGGACTTCCTTGGTGGTGCAGTGGTTAAGAATCCGCCTGCCAATGCAGGGGACACGTGTTCGATCCCTGCTCTGGAAAGATCCCACATGCCGCGGAGCAACTAAGCCGTGCGCCACAACTACTGAGCCCGTGTGCCACAACTACTGAAGCCCGTGCACCTAGAGCTCGTGCTCCGCAACAAGAGAAGCCACTGCAATGAGAAGCCCGCGCACCGCAACGGAGTAGCCCCTGCTCACCACAGCTAGAGAAAGCCTGCGCAGCAATGAAGACCCAACGCAGCCAAAAAAAAAAAAAAAGTATGACATGGACTTGCTACTTAAGAGCTCACACAATCAAGACAGGCTTTACTTAGGACTCTCATAAGACAGTATATAAATAATAAATTATGTGGTATAACACTCACCACTATAGACATATGAAGAGGAATCAGTATGGGAAAGAAGAGTTGTGCTTTTTTCATGGGAGTAGACTTCGAAATGGGCCTTGAAGAATGTATAGTATTTATACAGGAAGGAATGTATTGAAGGTGGTAAAGAAGTGGAGACTTCCAGGAAGAGGAATTACATGAGTAAAGGAAAGAGGAAGAATTGGGGTTGAGGTAGAACACTTTTTGTTGGGAGCACAGCAAGTTGGGAAGAAGTGAAAAGCAAGATTGAAGAGGACAGGCTGATGGTAGAGGGCCTTGAATACCTAGTCAGAGGATTCACATTTATTTTACTGGAGCAGGGTTTCTCATGGTGTCATCTTTGGACCCTTTGCGTCAAAATCATCCCCCCTCACGGCTTGTTAAATACTTGTTAAATATGCAGATTATCAGGCCTTGCCCCAGACCTCCTAAATCAGAATTGCTAACAGTGGGCCTAGGGGTTAGCTTTGAAACAAGAGTTCAGCTGATTCTTCTATGCTCTAAGGGCTGAGGAGTGGTTTAAGAAACACATCTGGTGAAGTTGTATTGAAGGGGAAAACTGGAAGCATAGAAGCCAGGCTTGGAGTGATAGGGCTTTGGCTAGGGAGGTGGAAATGAAGTCAGAAAGCAGGTAGGGAGACCGAGATGCTGCTTAAGCAGCACACAGTGATTCTAATGCACTGTCAGGACTGAAAACAAAGGGATTAGGCTTCGTGGCTTGGCTAGACTTAAGTATCTGGGTTCCACTTCCATTTCTTATCTTATATAGCTGACTTAGGACAATTCAGCTTGTTTATGCCTCAAGTCCTCACCTATAAAATTTGGGTATTATCCTAGATGATCTCTGAGATTCCTTCAGGTTCTAAAAGTCTGATTCTATGAATTAAAGATTATTTGAGAGAACTAAAAGAGTTAGGAGGGAAAGCTGGTTATTATTACTATTTTTTCTCTTCCTTTTCCTCCCTCCCTTTTTTTTTGGTGGGGGGGAGGTGGGGGCAAAGACATATTTTTAGATTTTTTTCTTTGAGATGATTTCAAGTTACCCATCCGAAACCAATGAGAACCCCTAGCAAATATGCAGTTTACATTAGGGTTTCTAATATGGTCAGAGAATGACTTGACTCTTAGGGTAATGGTTGATAAATCTATAGAATAAGCAATTACAAAGGTACCTAGTAATATTATTTTATGAACTGAATTAGATTCTCAGGCTTCACACACAGCTCCAAATTTGACATAAAGGTAATTTTTATCCATCGAATAAGCATTTATTAAGGGCCTGATGAACCAGGCAATGAATACACCATGGTTCCTGCCCTCAAAGTTATTACACTTTGGTCAAGAGATAAAAGTGCAATGAAGTATCACAAACACTAGGCTTGATGGTGTTTGGTAGTGACCCAAAGAAAGGCATCATCAACAGTGGGGAGGCGATAAGAGATTAAGAAGGGGCTCCAGGAAGAGGTGTCACTTGAGCTAAAGCCATCAAAGGAGTAAGCATTTGCTAGAGGAGGCAGCTTGAAGGCAGGGAGGCATGTTCGGAGAGCCACAAAGTTTGGTGTGGCCAGGTGGCAGAAGTGTTTGACTTTACGAGGGGCTTACTGAAAAATTTTGGCTGGCAAGTTAACAGGATCAGATTTGCATTTAAGGAAGATCACTTTGGCAGTAGATTCTTGAAACTACCTTACAAATGGTGAATCCAGATGTGACAGGTTGTATTTTCCCAAAGACGATTTTAACAATCTATCCCATCTCATATGCTCTTCTTACGATAGACTTTTGATACCCCTCCTTCAGAAAGATGGGGTTTGTGTCTCCTTCACTTGAAACTAGGAGGATTTTTGACCATTTTAACCAAGAGTATGGTGGAAATAAAGCAATGTGACTTTTCAAGGCTTGGTCATAGAAGGGGGTGGTGCTCTGAGGACAAAAACTTGGAAAGTGTTTTTTTTTTCTTTTATGGAATATGAAGAAAAAGAACCTCAGGTGTGGACACACTGTATGGAGTGCATAGTATATTAATGCTTTCCTGAAACTAGCCCTGCTCAACTCTGATGGAGAATCAACATCTGAGTGCAACAGCATTGTAAAAATGGATCCCCGAAGAAAGCGAGGTTTCAGAGTCAGCAGCTGCTCTGGGTTAAATACCGACAAGTCATCAAACAAAACAATCAAGGATTTTAGACACAATCTGCAGAAGCTAGTAAATTTTTCTGAGTTTTATCCATACAACTCACATTTCATTATATCTAAAGACCTTACACATGTGGTCAAGGAACCACTGTAAATGATACTTGAGAAATTGTGGGTAATGAGAATGGTGCTGATATGTTAGAGATTGGCCCGTGTTATTTATTAAACTTTTTAGCTTGGAATAATTTTAATTTACGTAAGAGATGCAATAGTAGGGCTCTTCGCTGTTTCTCCCTGTTAACATCTTATGTTAACAACATAACCATGGTGCATTTGTCAAAACTAAAACACTGGGCTTCCCTGGTGGCGCAGTGGTTAAGAATCCGTCTGCCAATGCAGGGGACATGGGCTCGAGCCCTGGTCCGGGAAGATCCCACATGCTGCGGAGCAACTAAGCCCATGCACCACAGCTACTGAGCCTGCGCTCTAGAGCCCGTGAGCCGCAACTACTGAGCCCTCCTGCCACAACTACTGAAGCCCGCGTGCCTAGAGCCAGTGCTCCACAACAAGAGAAGCCACCGCAGTGAGAAGCCCGTGCACACTGCAACGAAGAGTAGCCCCCGCTTGCTGCAACTAGAGAAAGCCCGTGCGCAGCAACGAAGACCCAACACAGCCAAAAATAAATAAAATAAATAAATAAAAAACAAAACGAAAAAAACTAAAACACTAACGTTGGCACATTATCATTAACTAAATTACAGATTTTACCAGTTTTTCCACTAATGTCCTTTTTTTTTTTGTTCTAGGATCCTATCCAGGATCCATTTGGTTGTCATGTCTCCACCAATCTGTGAAGTTTTCAGTCTTAATCCTTTTTATGACCTTGACATTTTTTACTTTGCATAAGTTCAATTTAGGTTTGCCTAACGTTTTCCTCATTAGACTGTGTTTTGGGGAATAATACTACAAGTGCTGTTCTTGTCATGTATCAGGAGATACACGGTATTATCAATAACATGACCTGTCACTGCTGATAACCTCGATCACTCGGTTAAGTGAGTCTACAGGTTTCTCCACTGAATCTATTGATACTACTTTCCCTTTCCATCATCTAGTCTTTAGAAGCCAGTCTCTCAAGGTAAAGGGAATTAAGCTCCACTTCTTAGGAAAGTATTTATACTATTAATTTATTCTAAGGAAGATTTGTCTCTTTTCCATTTATTTATTCAATTCTTTCAGTATGCAGTCACATATATTTATTTTAGACCAATACTGTGCTACTAATTTTGCTGCCCAAATTGTTTCAGCTTTGGCCATTGGGAGTTTTCAAGTTGACTCCTCTTTCACATACCCTCATCCTTTTGCTTTTGCAACACTGCCTTGCTTTCTGGCATTACTTGCCAGGCTCATCTTGTATCATCCCTGTGTGAGATAACAGGAAAAAAAAAATAGGTCTCGGCCCTTGGTTCCTGGCACAGAGCTCCTAAATCCCTTAGCCATTTCCTTGTTGATAGCAATGTCTTTTGTCCTAATGAGGTGACTGCTGGTTGTTCCTGGACGGGAGCTGGTCACCAGAAAAACCAAGCTATGTTCAAAAGCTTGGAAGTTTTAGTCCTGCCCCCACCCCTTCTCCAGAGGGGGGCTGGAAATTGAGTTAATGATCTATCATGCCTATGTGATAAAGCCTCCATAAAAATCCCCAAAGAATGGGGTTTGGGGAGCTTCTGGGTTGGTGACCACACAAAGGTGCCTGGAGAGAGCCTGGAAACTACACCCCTTACTACATACCTTGCCCTATGCATCTCTTCCATCTGGCTATTCCCAATTATATCCTTTTACAATAAATTGGTAATCCAGAGAGCAAACTGCTTTCCTGAGTTCCGTAAGCTGCTCCAGCAAACTAACTGAACACAAGGAGGGGGTCGTGTGAACCTTGGATTGATAGCCAGTTGGTCAGAAGCACAGGTAACAACCTGGACTTGTGATTGGCATCTGGTGAGAAGCAGTCTTGTAGGACTGAACTCTTAACTGGTAGAATCTGACACTCTCCAGGTAGTGTCAGCATTGAGTTAAACTGTAGGGACACCCAGCTAATGTCACAGAGAACTGTTTGCTGGGAGAAACCCCCACATAGTTGGAGAACTGTGAGTATGGTAGTAGTGTTAAAGCAGGAGTAGTGTAGGTTTTTCCTTTATGCTCTGTTCAGCTATTTTTTCAAGGAAATCTGGTTCTTTTATTAGTTTGGTATTTAGAAACCAAGGTCTAGTCACTGGGTATGCTAATCACTATTGGGGTGCTAATATTTCTAAGCCTGTTTAGTAGACATAGCTAGGAAATATGTACGTACACTAACCTACGTATGCACACATCGTGGCCCATGTTAGGTCTCACAAATACAGAAAAAGCCAAATACTGGACTAATGGGCCCTTAGGTGCTCCTGGGCTGAGTCCTAAAGGAGATGATCAGTTGTATTAAAAACTCATGAGTGCTCAGAAAAGACAGGCTCATGAATTCACAAGGTCAAATCACACTACATTTAACTATTTCCTCTACTTGATAAGAATGGATCAGAGAAATGCAGTTCACAAAATACTTGGGATTTTAGCAAAATCTTATTCTTATGTTAATATCTATTCAGTAACCAGTAGTGCCTAGTACAGTGGAAGGCTCTCATACATGTTTGCTAAATAAATGATAAGCAATCACTTGTAAACTGGAGAAGTTAAGGAATACGCTGCATGAGAGTCAAGCTCCAGAGTAACCTTGAGATGCCAAAATGATCAGTTGAATCAAACCACATGAAATTACTAGGAATAATTTTAAAGTTCTTCGCTTATCTTTAAAAAAGTTCGTTAATGTACCTAAGTATAAAAATGACAATCTGTGTGAAAAAGACTGGGTCAATTCCCAACTCACCATCAATCAAACCGGGACTGACGTTTGGCTGACAGAACTGAAGTTTCAAGTGGAAAAAACAATTCTGATCAGGACCCTCAAACTTCAGTGTCTAAGAACACACAGAGCTAACAATCTGGACGCCTGGCCCCACTTCCAGAGATTTTTTTGTACTATACTAAGGGTGGTACTCCGGGATCTACATCTTCAGTATAAACCTTTAGGTGATTCTGATGGTGGAAATACTCCTACCATACTACAAATAAGAGGTACGTGGCCAGTGTCAACTACAGAATTTGTGGGCCCAATGCAAAATCAAAATGCAGGCCTCTTATCTAAAAAATTAATTTTAAGTCAGTGTTAGCAGAGCATTAAACTAAGCATGGGGCCCTATGAGAACACATAGGTTACACACACCATGAAGCCATGTACTACACCCTGAGGTAATTATCTGCCTCTCCCACCAGATTAGGGCTATTATTTGGAAAAGGAAATAGATTTATTTGCATGACTCCAGAGCAGCATTGTCTAACAGAACTTTCCGAGATGATGGAAATATTCTCTGTCTGTGCTGTCCAGTTTGGTAGCCACAACCCACATGTGGCTGCTAAGCCCTGAAAAATGGTTTGTGTGACCAAAACTGGATTTTAAGTTCTACCTAATTTTAATTTACATTTGAATAGTCAAATGTAGCTACTGGACTCAGGATAAACCGGCTGAGGATCTGAGAGGAGAGTATGCAATGGTAGTGGCTTGGACTGAAAGAGGCCATGTGGCACATGAGGGACTAACAAGAAGCTCTAAAGCAAAGCCCAGGAAAAATCACTTCAACTTTCTGCCACATAGAGCAATTATTAGAACTTTGTACACCAAGAGAAATAAAGACAGTCCCTTCTTGAGAAGGTCAAGGCAGCACTAGCTTTCTAGTCCTTCCCTCTCCTACCCATTAACAACCAAATTCTAGTCATGAGAGGACCAGTGTCTATCCTGGTCTCAACTAGAAGGACTCAAGAACTAAACTGATTTGAACAAATTTTAATAGTCCCCTTACTATGGGAAAACACTGTACAGAAAGACCATGAGGGACTATAATGCTGATCAGTAGGATTAATTTGAAAAATAAACAGAGTGCAGACTCTGCATCAGACTAGCTTGGCCTCAACAAGAAAAGTCCACTGTTAGCTTTACACAAACAATCTAAGATGAGGTTTCCTCACCTGAAAACATGGATAACATCCCCTACCTCACTGGGTTTGTTCTGAGAATAAAGATGATGAACATAAACCATTTTGCACTGTCTTGCCAATGAAGAGCTCAATAAACATCAGCTGTTAGAAATCTAGTAATCTGGCTATACTGGTCAATAGCTATGTTTCAGTATTTAGGGCCTGAACTTTCAACAATAACTTAAAAATCAGTTAAGTGTCAAAAACTTTGGAAAAAGAAAGGAATGCAACTTATTCCTTTTTTCAAACAGCTATAAGTTATCTTCTTTGTAGAAGAATATAAGGGATATGGGTCTCATCAAGTATTACATACTCATATCTACAGACTATTTCAGAAACTGCTTTCAAATAACAAATAACGGTATTAAACACACATATGGGTAGCAGACACTGCTAAAAATAATTTCATTAGGATGGGGAGAGGAGTCAGATTTTTAAAGCATGCAAAATTTCCTTTTGAATGTTATAAAACTCAGGCTGTTAAGAAAGTAGCACATGACAGCAGGCATTTCTTACTATATTCAATATTGGCTAAATCTGCCAGATGGATTTTAAAGGGTAGTATAACAGCACGATGGGAAAACAGGGCCCAGAAGTGCTTGAGGAGCTTAGATCATTTAAAATCCAACTGAGAAAAGAAAAAACTGAATTATGTCCACAATGAGATTCTCAGACAAGGTGGTGACTATCCTGCCAAGGTCACACAATGGAAAATGGAAGCACCCAATAATGAGGCTGTAAAGCCGGCTGAAATAAAAGTAATTTCCTTAAAGTATAAAAACAAATTCTTGCCGGGCTTGAGAAACAAATATTCACAAGATTACTTTTTAAGGTCTGGCAGGGCAAGGATTCCTAAAAAAGTCTGTTAAATTAGCTTAGCTTTAATAAACACTTGCCATGTGCAAAAGCACCATCTTTCTTCAACATTTGAACTATCTTATGTATCTCTATCAATACTGTGAAGTACAGCAATCATCTGCCTCTATGGCTTTTGTGCCAGAGAACTCAGGGAAGTTGCCAAAGGACACCTTTATACTTTGGAATCTCTGGTTAAATTTCAGACCATTAATAAAATCAGTACTTGGTTGGCTGATAATCCTTTAGCATTTATGATGTCATGTAAATTCTCATGCTAGTCTTCCCACGTATGCAGTATATTTTAGGACATCTGATGATTAAAATATTTTCAGAGTAAGTGCAGGGATAATCATTCACTTGCTAACTATTTTTTTTAAATGGCCAAAATATTAGATAGAAAATAGAGCAACTCTACTTCTGGGGTGTTACAAAGCACTTGTTAAGGTCCAACTAGTATGTCTACCAACGTTTCTATTTGATTGAATATGTTCAGGCAGTGCTGGATATTTGGTCAGTACTTACAGCTCTTGACAGTATTACTGATGGATTCCACCAGTTTCTTCAGAACCTTCTGGTCCATGTCAAGTGTGGCTTCAACACAATGCAGACTTCTCAGATAGCCTAATTCCAAGCCTGGGTGTCCTGGGTTGCCACTGATTCCACAGTGCACCACTCCATACCCAGCACAGAACGTGACCATGGCAACATTCCAGCAACCAAACACAGAAGGTTCTCAAGTAATTGGAAAAATATGCAACAATGATTGTTACCACTCAGTATAAATGCAGTGATTTCATTAATGATGTGATCTGAAATATTACAGCAATTCCAACATTTATCTCTTCTTTGGGGCTAAACACCATTTAAAGTGGTATTTGATATTATTGCCACTTATACTTCTTGAGCACAAATTCTAGAGTTGAAAATGTTTACGGATGAACACATAATAACTAAGTAAGACTATAAAGACCTGATTCTTTAAGTAGAAATAAAATAACTTCTCAGGCTACGAAGAGCTCCTTCAAAGGTTATAACCTCCTTTGAAAACTCTAACCAAGCACCTTCTCATAATAAGCAAACAAAGGCCTCAATCTGGGAGCTTCTAGAGAAATGTAAAACCCCTCACGTTTACCCCTCCAACTTATCTGACTGACTGGTTAGGAAAACATGGTATGATTATGCCAAAGCTGGGCAAGATGGCAACTGTTCTCATGTCCATTGTCAAATCCTGGTATAAAGAACAAACATCTTCTTGTGTATGTCTGCTGGCCTTCACTGTGGCAAGGCAAAAAAAAGGTACAAAAATGATTTTTAGAATTTAGGACACTGTATTCTTACTAAATTTTAAATAACACATAAAAACAAATTTTAAAATAAGGCAAATACAACTGGGGGAAAAAAAAAGTTTCCCCAAACGTTTAAGGAAATACCAAACGTTCATAGATTTTAAGTTGAAAACTGACAATTTTTAATAACTGTTCTTAGTGGCTAGTCTATTGTTCTCTGTAAAATTAAAGAAAATTAGGCAATAGGCTTTTAACACATCTTGACTGGAGGAATACGAATCTATACTCTGGATAAAATAAATTCAAGACACTCTTAGGGTATTTAAAACACCTAAACATACTAAGGGCAACCCAAGGAATCCAAAACCACCAGAAAAAGACAGCACCAGGTATAAATTCAATTTTCCTACTCAGACATTCACCAATTTTGTTGCAGTTACCCTGGCATCATTATCCAAATAACATGCTTTGTGTTTATAAAATTAGTATATAATTATTCAAGTAAAAGGGTGGTTTGGTGGAGAAAGAGATGTTATTAACTTGCACATAATATCACCTGGTCAAATTTTCTTTGTATACCTTATTAGAAAACTGTTAAGGCTACCACAAGAAGAATAATGAAAAAGGTGTTTCCCAGGCAGTCAACACAACCTGGAAAGAATACAATTTTTGCCAAATCACCTTCTTTTCCAGTTTAATAAAATGAACTGCTGCTTCTAGTGGGACATAATCATCATATACTGGACCAGTCTGCAAAGGTACACTTTTATGTCATGGCAAAACTGATTAACAGATAACCTGATAACCTTATCTTTTAGCATTTTCACGAACAATTCTGAGGAACTTCTTTTTGGATAAAAAATGTCTCCCAAACTTGCTGTGTACTCAAGAGCTTATAGATTTCTTTTATTAGGAAAGATTACGAAGCTTTAAGCGTAAAATTTAGGAACATTTACCAAGAAATGTATTATATTTTATGGCTAAAAACTTGGGGACATGACTTATCCACCTAGCACTTAACACCTAGTAGTGTTCCTTAATCTTTATAACTTGAGACTCAAAGGGAGCTGATAAGAACACAGCTATTTTTAAGTAAAATAGCTATTTATTCAGCTTGTCATGCCAAAATGTTTTGTGCATATACCACTATAATTAGCACACCCTCTGTAACAGGCAAAATTGTACATCAAATTATATTTCATGTTACCTGATTATATAAAAATGTAAAGTGAAAATGATTTATCAATTCTTTTTAACATTACTAGTAAACAATTCAGCAGGAGACATGAGGCACAAAATCTTAGTAAAATATGACACAGGAAAAGCAAATATGTAATTCTCACTTAAATTTAACTTGTCATAATCCATTGTGAATATACAAAGACAAACCTTTAAAACGTTATATTTACTAAGATTCTGGCAATAGTTTTGTGTAACAAGACACAGCATACCAGGCCTGTCACTCAACTTATTTATGGTTAAGTCTCAGCTTCAATATGAAGCTGTTAAAAAAAAAAAAAAAATCAAAAACCTGCTTTTTACATGCTAAATATCTTGGCAAGTATGCTGTTAAACACAGTAAGGAATTTAGAATAGCAAGAATAAGGAGTTAATAAAAAGCTAAACATTACAGCCTAAACAAAACTCATACAAAAAATAAAGGAACTATCACTGATTACATAAAATTTTCCTGACTGGTTAAAACCTAACAGTATAAAACATGCATTTTAGAATCTTTAGCTATCAAGTTCAAAAAGTACCAGTGTCATTTGAAATGATTCCTTTTCAAAGCCAAAGTGTAGTCAAAATTAGTTCAAATGTTATAACACATTCTAATGCTAAAAAACATTCAGTATTATTGAAGTGGAGGTAAATCCCAGAGCTTTTGGGGCATTCTCATGCTGCAAAAGGCTATTTCTCTGGTTCACTCAAAGTAGCATACGACAGAGTCCAACGATGTCACTAAGCTCAGTAAAGGGCAAGACTGCCATACCCGGCCCTGACCTCCCCATGAAGCATGGCTACTGTGTCCACAAAAATAAGATGTGTGAGGATAAAGGCACGCTATTCTGCTAGCTGAAGTGATATCAAACCCCACCCCCACCCCTAAAAGCTCCTTCCCCAGGTAAACAAAAGTATACAAGGGGAAAAAATTAAAATACGCTTATCTACAGAGTAAGGATTTTGAAACGTCAACGTAATCCCTACTTCAAAAATGTTAACTAGAGTCATCTGGTCATGTCTGATTACATCTTAATGATGTATCCAGATTCAGTTTCTGTTGATTTATCATTAGATACTTCTAGTCAAAAATATTAACTTTATTCCCAAATATCTTAACCACTAGTATGACTGCGGTGTGTTATCTCCCAGTTATAAAGCACTGGATGAGAAAAAAACAGATGTTCAAGCAGCAGGCAACAATTATGGCCCTTTCACACAGCGGCATCTGAGTGGCTACTGATAGTCCAGGAATAATTCTAAAAACAAGAAAATTCATGCATTTTAGTAAATATGTCATAATGTTCACAGTTGATATTTCCTTAGACATTGCACTTTCTTTATAAGTGAATCCTGATTCTTCTTAAAGTTATGGTGAGTCAGGACTTGAACTAGCAGCCTTCTTTTTCTTCTTCTTACTGTGTTTCTTATGCTTCCTTTTCTTTTTTGTTTTTTCCTGAAAAGATAGTTCCATGTTAGACATAGCTACGTAAAAATCTGCAAATTAAAAACAACAACTTCACCATGGTACTTCTAATCTACTATGTATAGTTATTTCTAACAATCCACACAAACAAGTAAGCTACTGAAAACATTTCTCGAAAAGTCTCAATAATATTGTATGAGGACTAAGAGAGTGCTTGTCAATTTTCAAAAGATAAGGAAAACTCTAGGTCAGTAGCACATTAATGTAGCTTCTAACAAGATTTCCTGTAGAAAATAAATTCAACTGGATTATGGTATCAACTGTTATACTTCATGTTATCTAATTTTTAAAGGTGAAATCATTTTAGTTACTGCAAAGGAATCGTCATACCACAGCAAAACACAATTGTTTGTAAAATGATAACTTTTAGAGAATACATTAAACCTGCTACTTTTAAGTAAATAGGAACAGGTATTAGGTACTGCTTAGACTGGTAGAGCTACTTTAATTATTAAGTTAACAACTATCTGGTACAAAATACTGACGTACAGTTGAAAAGTATATTTAGCTTAGAAAAATGGACGCTTGGTTTTTAGAGGAAAACACCACTGAGGCCTAGTAAAAAGTAGTCATACTGTGACTAGACAAAGGAAGCTAGAATTCTGCTGAACCCTGACTCTCTTGACTTTCTGATGTAAAAGAGAAGGCAGAACTTTTAGAAACAGATATGTGGAAATGTAGTATCAAATAATATACTAGTTGTTGATATTCAGGGGAAGTAAAAAGAAAAGGCAAGAGCCTTAATTTAAGGGTGGCAAAAATAAAACTTCCTCTCCATCTCCTTATCTATTAGAACTTCCATCCCTCCACCTTCTCTAAGGCCTCTATCACTTTGTGACACTAACAAACTTTCACTGTTCTTTTCATTACGAGCCCAGGTATGCAGGGACTTTTAGAGAGTCCAAAATCTTATATCTGGGCTTTTAAAAATAAGTTTTGGGTATAGGTTACTTTTTCATAAAAGGATAGTTGGCCACTCTGTTCTTAAAACACTTTTCTTCTTGGCTTCCATGACACCTCACTCTGCTGCTTTCCTTCTATCACAAAGACCTTGTTTGCTGGTTCTTCTTCCTCTGCTCAACCTTTGTGGGCTTCCTTCCCTTCTTTTCCACATGCTCTCCCAGTAACATGCTTTAAATACCACTTAACAGACCAAATCTTTATATCCAGTCCTATGCTCTAAACTCAAGACTGCAAGTGCCTTATTACTAGCTCTACCATGCTAGTTATTAAAAATGCTTAATTTTTCCCTCCAAATCCTTTCTCAACCATCTTAGTGCATGGCACCACTAATTCATCATATTGTTTAAGCCAAACAATCTAAACTATCTTTGACTCGACTCTTTAACTCCACTCTCCACCCCTGAAGCACCAAGCAAGTCCTACCACCTAAGGCCAAATCATATCTCAAATCCATCATGCCAGTCCATCTCCATCACTACCACTGTAATACAAACAACAGCATTCCTCATTTAGGTCCAGTCATCACTTCTGCCAAAATATTTTTAAAATGTAAAGTTGATTTAGGTTACCTGTTTGCTTTGATTAAAACCTAAATAGCGTGCTCTGTGAGATGGCCTCTGCTTACTTCCCAACCTCATTATATGCTATCCTCTTTATCTACTACGTGTAAGCCAAGCCTACCTTTTTTCACTTCTTCAAACATATCAAGCTCACTCCCACCATAGGTCCTGAGCTCTTCTCTCTGTCTAGGATGTTCTATCTTTCATCTTCTAATGGTTGGCTCTTTTTTGTAAATCAGATTTCAGCTTAATTTTACGTCCTCAAAGAGGCTTTCTCTCCGAGTCAGCCTCTCATTTGTCACACTCTTATCTATCTCGTACTCCATTATAACAGCTCTACCAAGACAGAACAGTGCCTGCATAGAGAAGCTTAATAAATACATGCTAGCTGAATGCATGAAACAGTAAAGTATGCAAATATAAATTAGAATTATCCAAAATTAACTTTATGTCTTAGTAATCTGAACCAAAGATGCAGTCTTCACCCAAGTTATTTTCCCACTCAGGAAAAATGTCTCTTAAATGTCTCCTTGGTCTTGAAGCATATAAAATGTTATTTCCGAATCACACATTATCAGGTGAACCTTCTCAGAGAAGGACCCTCGTTTTAAGAGTCAGGGACATTCTGGGAAGGGGCAGTTACTCTCAAACCTACAAATGATGCTGTTCTCATTTTTCTTTTACTCCTCCCTAAGAAAATGCCTTCAAAGGCCATAGCCCACACTTATGTGGGTGCTCCTAAATTACTTTGCTGATATGATCTGCATTTCTCCTTGATAATTTGCTACAGACGTTCTCTAGGTTGGTCTGCTTCTCATTGGATACCACTTCCACTTTCCTATTCTCCTCTTTCTACTTCTCAACCTGCATGATAGCAGAGCTGGCTTTAGAAATGATTGAAAGAATCATCTTTATTAGCGAATCATTTATGTTGTAACATTCCTCTTATTTTTCATTGCAGCGTGTGCTTCATGAGCCTTTTTCTATTATTACCAGGTTTGGCAGATCTGGGAGTATCTACTATCGAAGATGGAGGGAATCACCATACTTTACTCTCATACTTCCTGTTACAGCTTAAGAAAGTCAAACAATAGTTTAAGCTTACATTTCTAACAGTAAAATACTGAAAATGAAACAGAGATGTTTGCTATCAGGATATGCTTCCTTTCTTCTGAGCCAATTTAATTTTCTCCAACCCATTAAGTGAAGCTGCTGAACACCACACCTTTCCCAATAAATATTTATTTAGTTCTAGTAAGTGTAATCATGCTTTACAAAGACTAATTTTATATTAAAAACAGCTATACTGTTGTCATGTAAAAACATAAGT